TTGATTTCTACATTATTTCGACGAAACGATGGTTGACTCATTCGAATGTCCTCGGTCAATTATTATCTTCGATACTTTCTATCGGATTATGTAAGGTTCAATGGGAAATGAGAATGATACCAAGATTTACAATTTAAAGAAAGAGAAAGAGGGAGGTAGAGAGAGAGAGAGAGAGAGAAAGAGAAAGAGAGAGGGAAATAGAGAATAGAGGATAGAGGATAAAAAGGTGATAATTTCTTTACGAATTATTGTCATTATTTAACATAAAATGTTTATCTGAATTCGACATAAAAAAAAAAGGAAATAAATAAATAAAAGTAAATAAAAAAATACTTCATATGTATATTTCGTTCGTTGATAATAGTTCATGATAGTTCGTGATAGGATTAATGAACGATCAAATGACAAATATACTACGGAAACCACACCTAACATTGTAATATGATTATGCACATTATCTGATTCATCTAAATGGTATTAATTACATTAATTGAACATTGTGGATCAGTCAGTCCAGAAATATAAAAACGTGAAAGTGATCATTTTCAATGTAAATACTTCTATCTATTTTCATTCTAATGGTATCTTATTATTTTACTGTGATATATATTTATAGGATATTATAATTCTAAAATGGATCTTTGGAGGAAAATTAATTTTTAAAAGGCGAATGCGTATATACGTTTTGTATTCATCAAAGTTATAAATATAAAAATCAATTTTGTTGCATTATAAAAGAAATAAATGATCTCGATGACACTTGCAAGATCCAAATTAATATATTATTTATATGTTTATATGGAATGAATTTTTTTTTATGTATTTGTTTTTTATTCTTTATTCTTTTGTTTTGTTTATTTTTTATTTTTTTGTTTTTATCAAGCCATCTATATATATATATTCTCTTTTTATAATTCTCAATCACATTTCAAAAAGGATCTTAATTCATTTACATTTATATGTTCAAAGTTCGCAAACAAAGAATAAACAAAAAAAGAACAAGAAAAAAAATGAAAATGATAAAAGAATAGGAAGAATAGAAAAAAGTAAAAATAGAAATTATAAAAAAAGAATAACCAAATAAATCATACATGAAAGGAATAATGAAAATTTATTGTCGTTAAAAATAATCAATGGCGATAGATTTTTAAATGACGTCGTAAAACGAGAGAGTGATAAGGCATATATATATATATATATATATATATATATGTGTGTGTGTGTGTGTGTATATATGTATACATATACTCAAGTGAGTAAAAGATACACGTGTTCTTTCTTGTGAGATAGGAAGTCGGACAAAAGTCGTATAAAAGTCTGGGGAAAGTCTCTTATGTATCCTCCTCTTTTTTCTCTTGTAAGATATCTTTCACTTGCAAAAGAGATACCAACGGGTGGGATCAACGCGTTTACCGACCGAGAATTTGAGTTTCGACCATGGCCCAGAAAACGAACTAACTCACGAGCGTACTCTTTCCTCACGCGTCCTCGCGATACGTCGCGTTCTACGGAATGCCGACTTGCGTAATCTTTGCACCACTATAGTCCGTTCTGTTTGCACCGTGTCCGCCATCTTGGACTTCGATTTTCGAATACTAAGCGTCGTCATGTTACGTACGTACGTACGCACTTATATATATGTATATATATATATATATGTACGTACATATGTATATACATACGTATAGTATATGCTTATGTTTATAGATTGATATTGACAAACTTAATGAAAAATTTGTCGTATTATTTTATCAGAATTTATGTTTGCTATTCGCAGCATTTTTATTTATTTATTTCTTTTCTTTTCTTTTCTTTTCTTTTCTTTCTTTCTTTCTTTCTTTTTCTTTTTTTTTTTTTTGCTTTTTTTTTCTTCTTATTTCTCTGTTTTCTCTTCGTTACTTTCATTGAAACTTATGAGCATGTGTACTCGATGTATACCGTATGTTTCTATACGTATATACATGTTTAATACGTGGACATACGTTTCGTAAGATATTCGTGTATATATAAATATTTGTTACATATTCTTCTTTGATTATATTATTTCAAATATTTTTCTTTTTATTATTAATAATAGAAAAAAGAAAATTGTTTAAGGATATATAATATAATAATCTTGTGTAATAATTTTGTAATTAATTAGGAATTGGCCTAAATTATGACCACCATTATCATTGATGGATTTGGAGATGGATGAATTTTTTTAATATTAAAAATTATTGATGTAACTCTTTTCCACGTATAAATAATATATATATATATATAGATTAATAAAATGTTTATGTTTTCATATGTCAAATATTTCAATAGTATAAAATAAAATACCGAATTTCCGATTAAAATAAAATTTGAATAATTTATAGTTTTTCTTGTAAAATATTCTATATTTTTTTTCGTTTTTTTTTTTTTTTTTTTTTTATAATTAATTATACACTTTAATCAGTTCGAATATAAAATTGAAAGTAATAATTTAAAAAATTAATTTTTAATAACAAAACTAATAACAATAATAATAAAGAAGATTATTGAAATCCTCATAGATTTGATAAAAATTTGAAATTTAATACGTTTAATTTTTTTTTTATTTATAATGTTCACTTGTATTTTTACTAAATATTAATTTTCACTAATTAATTACGTATTAATGTTTCTTTCTACATAGGATACTGCATAAGTTACATATCTCGTTGATTATCTACTTCAATTTTATACTTAATAGTTCAATAGTTCCTTTTTGAAAGATAGTTTATTAAAATGATATAATTAATTAAAAATAAATGCATGGTCACTCTGCGAAGACTTTTTTTTTTCTAATATAAAATATATACTTGTTAGAGAAAATTAGACGAACGATAATAAAATCGACAGAAGAGATTATTAAGGTCGTTCGATTTAGAAAAAAGAAAAAAAAAAAAAAGAAAAAGAAAAAAAGAAAAAAGAATGAAAAGAAAAGAAATAAGAAACTTTTGATCGGTAATTTCAATAATCACATAGAGACACAAGTTAGAGGAAATTATTTATACACGAACATCGATAAAAAAACACTTAACGATCTTTCCTTTTACAGAATACAAAATATATTTATACGTGGAAGTTATATAGACATCAAATAGGCACGATTATTCTTTTTTCTTTTGCTAAATAAAGATAGATAAAGATACGAATAGATTAACATATGGAAAGTTTCGAAAAATATCAATTAGTTGTCTTCCACGTAAATCGTGAAACTTTTTACAAAGAAACTAGACGACCAATGTTTACCAATCTGAAATATTCTACGATCTTAATCGCTCTAACCGCAAAAATTCACAAATGTATACGCACACACAAACACATAAAAGTATACGTACATGCATAAATATACATAAACGTGATATGATCATATTTTCATATATATACATACGTAACTCATATCGATTGATTTGTCAACTTTCGAGGAAATACGAAAGAAAAATTAAATATATTTTATATTTAATAAGTTTAATTAGTCATGATCGATTGAAATAAAATTTTAATAATATTTTATTTTTCAATAGAGAACGAAATATCGATAAGGTATAATTTACCTAATTATTATTATTTTTAATTGGCACCATAATTCGACGTAATGTGTATATATATATATATATATATATATATATATATATATATATATATATATATATATATATAATACAATAGAATAGAATCGTAAAAGAATCGTAAGATCCTTGTAAAGTTTGATTAAGTATCGATAAGTACTTGCAGATAATTATAAAACAGTTCCCGCATAATACGAGTTATCGATAAATCGATTGCCCGGAACCGCAGGATACTTTATTAATCTTTTTCCGTTTTGGTTCTACCGAAGAAACGAGATTTCCTGATAGAAATGACACTGACAAGTAGTTGAATGACGAATATTATTAGTTAGGTAGTTGTCGAGAAAGTTTCTTTTAAATTTATAGTTTTGTTTTACAATATTCAATGTGTCTAACTATATATATACATATATATATATATATATATATATATATATATATATAATTATATATTATATTTAAATAATATTTTAAAATATACATATAAATTGTAATACAATATATTATAAAATATATACATATAAATTGTATTACAATATATTACAATATATATAAATATATATATATATATAAAGAGAGAGAGAGAGAGAGAGAGAATACATATTGTTATATATATGTGTTTGAATGTACACTATATATATATATATGTGTGTGTGTATACGTAGTATAGTGTTTAAATGAAAGAACAGCGTAAAATGAAATGTATGTATATATATGTATATAATATATACGTTGTCCAATGAAACGACCGATCGTCAACACGGCAAAAAGAAAGCCGCCTTCTTATGTAATACTCTCGTTTGCTCTTTCTAAACTGTTTGCTATCCGGAGATACGAGTTCCTTGTATTCTGAGTAAGATTTACAAGATCGATTTACCTTGCTCAAAGGCTGTCCCGAATGGATATCTGTATCCATTAATTGTACGTCATATATATATATTGTATATGTATACCTTGTAGATATATTTCTAAATTTTGAAAAGAAATTTATATCTTATTATTGACACATGCGTGTATATGTGTTTGTATATGTGATGATATTTATATATAAATTAGTTTTGATTAGAACATTATACCATAATATATCATATATAAATTATATAATATAATAATAATTTATATATATATATATATATATAATAATATTACAAATTATATAAATTTATATTAATAAATTAATCATATTAATATATACCTATATATATATATATATATATATATGTATGTATATAAACATTAATTATTAAATAAATAAATATAAAATTATAAAAATGATTAAATATTGAAAATAAAATTTCTCAATCAAAATGTAAATCATTATAATCAAGTATAATATATATATGTATATTTATCGTACTTTTAAAAATGAAATAAAATTTCATCAAAATGATCTGATGTTTGTGTTTATTCATGTTTCAGTGGGGACAGTACCGCGGACGGCGGTGGGGGTATAATAAACCCAAATTTCTCAATGAACGTTATTCAAAACAACGCAGAGAGTAACATAGATCTAACAATGGTTACAACTAATCCAGTCTTGGCTACGCCAGGATTAAATAATCCAGCATGGAATCGACAACAGGCTGTTAGCGTTAGACACGCTTTCAAAACTTATGGCAGTAGTAAAAATCCAAATCACGTTATACAAAATCTCAGTATGACGGTAGCCAAAGGATCAATGTGAGTAAATTAATTAGATATATTCTTTTATAAATTATTAATATATTAATTTCTTTTATTTTTCATCGATCAATCAAATTTTATATATATATATATATATATATATATATATATATATATATATATATATAAACGAATGTCTATACGAATGTCTATAATACATTACATATATGTTTGTTAAAAGAGAAACGAGAAAGTAACGACAAAAAATAATAGATATATATATATATATATATTTTTTTTTTTTTTTATTACTCACGTATATCTACACATATATTTCTAATTGGTACAATAAATCGAAAGAAATATCTTCAAACTGGTTAAGCAAACTTTCGTATTTTGAGGTAAGAAAAAAAAGGAAAGAATAAAAATAGAAACTAATCGAAACAGCATACCGAATTAGTAACACTGACCGAAACTTTCTTGCATTTTATAAGGAAAATCGTAAATTATCGGATAATTATCCCTTGGTTTATCTCTATCATTAGTGACCATATTCTAAGATCGTACGGATCGTTAAAAGTTTCAAAAAAAAAAAAAAAGAAGAAGATAACAAGATAGAAAAATAATAATTATCTTTATTTTTCAACAACAACATGACAATAGTCTCTTTTTGTTTTCATCTCGCGCAATCCCTTGATTGATGATCGGATATTAAATAATAATAAACAACGTTTCTATATTGATTATTATCGCCTGACAAACAAGTTTAAAAATAGATATTTAAATTCATTTGATCTTTTTCTTCTTTCTTCTTCTTTTTTTCCTTTTTTTTTTCTTTTTCCTAATTTTCTCATTTTCTATGTTAATTCGATCAAAATATAAATTTCCATAACTCGTTAGATGAAATTTGATATAGTTGCTATAATTTCTAATTGTTGGAATAATACCGATATTATTTCCGTGTTAACGTTGAATCATTGAGTTTATTTATTATTCCAAAGACAACCCAAAAGAAAATGAATTATAATGTGTCGACTCGAGGTATGTTAATGACGTCACCGTAATTGGAATCCTATTAGACAGAATATATACGTACATGCATACTACATCGTTATTTCATTTATCTTTCTTGAAACGTTGAAAGTTGCTCTTGACAAAGGAAACGATCTTACGAAAACCGGAAATTGAAATATATTTTATCTATTTTTCTTTCTTCCTCTATCTCTCTCTTCCTCTCTCTCTCTCTCTCTCTCTCTCTCTCTCTATCTATCTATCTATCTATCTATCTATCTATCTATCTATCTATCTATCTATCTATCTATCTATCTATCTATCTATCTATCTATCTATCTATCTATCTATCTATCTATCTATCTCGTTTCTCATTTTGATAAATAAATTTATCGTGCGTTCTTATAAATGATACGTAAAAAACAACACTTAACACAATACAAAGAAAATTGTTTTCTGTTTATGTAAATAAATGACACATGTAGCAGCTATTTTCTGTGTGTATGTGTGTGTGTGTGTGTGTGTGTGTTAAAAGCTTTGGTTATTAATAAAATAGAGCATGAAAAGTATCTTTTCAAGAACAATAGAAAATAATTTACTCGAATTATTTCTAGATGATCGTTTGTAATTATTATTGAAATTAAATAAAATTCTCTCTCTCTCTCTCTCTCTCTCTCTCTCTCTCTCTCTCTCTCTCTCTCTTTCTTTTTAATGTCTAAAGATCTGTTCAATGTTATTGCCGCTTTATTCCCCATGATAAAATTAGACAGTAATGTTAATAATCGTTCGGTATGTCTATTCTCGTAATATTAACTACCAACGTAAAATCATTTTTACCATTTTCGACGAAAGGAAAGTTTCCTAAGGAATAATTGAGAATGTGAATTTTATTACCGCGCGAAACTAGATATAGAGAAATTATTGTGAAACGTTCTTCGAAACGTGTTACCGTGTAATATATCTTTCAATTTTTATGAAACTATTATGTTACCACGAAATACATATGATTACAGGTTTTTTTTTTTTTTTTTTCTTTATATCATACTACTATCGAAGACAAAACTTTCTCGTTTTATCCTTATCAATGAATTCTAAAACTCACGCACGTATCGAATCATCCACCCCATCCCTAACCACATAAAACCTTTTAAAATTTTTATCAAAAGTCAAGTCGAAATGGAATTAATGATTCCAAGGTTTGTAACAAAAAAAAAAAGAAAAAGAAAAAAATTATATAAAATAAGAATAAAGATCTTGAAGAACATGTTTTAAAAATCGATCCTTTTGACTTTGGAAATGAATGGAGATAATCCGAACGAGTTTGTATAAATAAAAATGATTAAAGTTGAAAACCTTGATGTTTGTTTCTCTATAGATACGGTCTCTTGGGTGCCAGTGGTTGTGGCAAAACAACATTATTATCCTGCATCGTTGGACAAAGACGTTTGAATTCCGGAGAAATTTGGGTTTTAGGTGGTAAACCGGGTACAAAGGGTTCCGGTGTACCTGGGAAAAGAGTTGGTTACATGCCACAAGAGATAGCCCTATATGGTGAATTTACTATACGCGAAACTATGTTGTACTTCGGTTGGATATTCGGCATGGACACCGCTGAAATTGTCGATAGGTTACGTTTTTTATTACAATTTTTGGATTTGCCATCGCAAAATCGGCTTGTCAAAAATCTCAGGTAAGTAATAGTATAATTATGTTGTATGTATTTATATATATATATATATCAACGATCAATGAAATTCTATTGGCGCAGCCAAATTCGCTTAATCGATTTTTTTGTAAACGTAACAATTAAAATTTGTTAGAAAGAACATTGAATCGTTTTGATAGAATTATTATATGTTGCATTAGCATATTCAAGAAATATTCTTATATATATATATATATATATATATATATATATATATATATATATATATATAATTATGTTCGTATATATTTCGTCTGGAGAAAAAAAGAAAAAGAAAAAAAAAAGAAGCACTTGCAACACATATCAAAAACGAGAAATAAATCTAAAGAATAGTATTTAAAATATATGATTTTCTACTTTATGTCAAGCATTATTTAATAAATATCGAATATGATTTAAAATAATAATTTTTAATAGGCTTTAATATAACAGAAAAATTTTTTTCATTTAATTATTTTATTGTAAGATTCTTAAATGGCACCCAACAGAATTATTTTTCGAAATTTTTCTTACATTCGAGAATTATTTTTTTTCTTTTAATTATTTATAAAAAGAAAAAAAAAGAATATTCCTTTTATTCGAAAAAAAATCTTTTCGTTCGTTTATTCGTTTTTATTTTCGTTCTTTTTTTTTTTTTTTTTTTTTTTTTTTAACAGTGGTGGCCAACAAAGACGGGTATCGTTCGCAGTGGCTCTCATGCACGATCCTGAACTTTTAATACTCGACGAACCAACCGTGGGCGTTGATCCGTTACTCAGACAAAGGTAAGTTTTCTGCATTTCATTAAAAGTATAATAAATATTAAATATTTAATTTAAAAATAATTTTAATGATTTTAATAATTACTCTAATATATTTCTATAAATCTATTTCTACAAAGGCAAAACTCATTTAACTTGATTCACGTTGATTTTAAAAATTAATTTAAATCATTATATTATTGTCCGTTTAAATTTAATATAACATTTTAAAAGCACATCATCGTAAATGATAGAATCGATTCTAGGATAGATACATGATCAAATATTGTCTGTGTTTAGCTAAGCGTTTCTAACTTTCTTTTTTTCTCTCCTATCTCCGAATGAACGTTGAAAGGAATGAACGACGACTACTATAAGAGAGAAATTCTTTCATGTTTTATATTCGTTTCTTTACTATGCAAAATTAAAAAAAAGGGCTATATTTTTAATTTATAATCATACGATTTCATTTCATTTATTTTACATGCGAAGAAATTTTTTTTTATTAAAATCTCTTTTTCAATTATGTTATATATTCAAATATTTTTCATTTACATATAATAAATTAAATAATATATATATATATATATATATACGTATATTAATATCTTATTTTGGATTTTTTCCTATATTTTTTATAATATTTTCTAAGAAAAATGCGAATTAACATCGCATAGTTTGGATGCAATATTTTTTACAATTTTTTTTTTGTTTGTTTTTTTTTTTTATCGAGATCGAATATAATTTATCTGTGATATAATTGAAATAAATAAATATATATATATATATATATATATATATATATATATATATACATATAAAAGAAAAGAAAAAAAAAAAAGATAATCGAAGGATCAAGAACGAGAATCATTATTATACATTCATGATAAAAACTTGTTGATCGATTTATTTGAATTTACAATTATCATTTGTCATTAAAACGATGAAAAAAAGAGAAAAGGAAAAAAAAAAAAAAAATTTTTCCCATATAATTATTCTCTACATTTATTTCTTTTTTTTTTTTTTAACATCGCAACCTTTCTTTTCCCTTTTTCTAATCATCCATGGAAAAAAAAAGAAAAGGAAAAAAGAAAAAGAAAAATAGAAGATGTTATCGGTAATGGCCGTTCATGCAAAGAACGGCCTATCGGACATAATGGCGACATCCAATTACGAATTGACGAGAAAGTTAACAACGAAACTACTTGCTTCCCTTTCGAATTCACATCGCATCTTTCGAATCATGACTCGAAACACATCATATATTTACGTTTATAGATTGGGTTACGTAGTTGGATACCGTAAAATGGTTTTTCCTTTTCATTTTTCTTTTTTTTCTTTTTTTTCTTCTATTTATTTTCTTTCAATTTTTTTCAAAAACATCGAAACGATTATACTAATCCGTCGCCGTAAAATCATTTTTATAAATTAAATCCTATTACCATGGTTTAACGGATTATTTTCTATATAAATCACGACATTCTCTATACTCTTTTATTCGTTTTAATATGTATCAATATATATATATATATATATATATATATATATATATATGTATTATGTATATATGTCGTTACGAATAGGCTAAGAATATTTTCGCATAATACTCGTTAATGGTCGGGTCAAATACGCGCACGCGTACACGATAGTTCGTAAAAAAATAATCTACTTTCTCTGATCATAAAAAAGTCATTAATTCTTGTAAATTTTTCTCGTTATATTTTTTTTCTTTTTCTATCTTTCTCTCTCTCTCTCTCTCTCTCTTTCCCTCTCTCTCTCTTCTCTCTCTCTCTCTCTCTCTCTCTCTCTCTCTCTTTTCTAATTCTTTCCGCCGCATGTCCAAGATCGTAAATGCTCTTACGCATATTTTTGCATGCTAGAATTTATCTCAACATTGTACATATCTGTGTATATGTGTGTGTGTGTGTGTGTGTGTGTACGAACGTTAATCATACATCAACTTAATATTATTCGTAAAACGTTTTGAAAAAAAGAAAAAAAAAGGAAATAATAAGAAGAAATACTTAATCTTTATGATGAAATAGAAAACATCGATTACATTTGTATATTTCATTATATAATCTCATCGAAATTCTAACTGCATGTACGCGTATAAATATACTCATACTATATTTATTATATTAATTAAATAATTTCTTTCTAAAATTTATACATTTTTCGAAGGTAGGAAGAAGAAGAAACATATTATGATATTGTTTTTTTTCTTCTTTTTTTTTCTTTTTTTTTTATCGAAACCTGACACACGTATTTACATGTGTACGTATATAATACCTACATATCTATTATATTCATATTTATAAATGAATTCAACAAAAAAAAAAAAAAAGATAAAAGAAAATAAGAAGAAAGAAAAGAAACAAACAAGGAAGTAAAAAAAAAAGGTCGCATGAATTTGTAACGAAAAGAAAAAGAATTAAAGGTATAAGCGAAAAATTAACATAAAGAAAAAAAAAAGGAAGGAAAAAAAAATCATATTTAATAATTGTACTTAAGAACAATCTCTGTTTATTTCTTACTACGAAACGTGCTCTCGATCTTATAAGATATCGTTCGTATCGTACATTTCCACGTAGGTTACGACGACCTTGGAAAAAAAAAACAAAAAAAAAACCAAAAAAAAAAGAAGAAAAAAATAATCTCAATGCAATCGCAGTCTCGTTCGTGTTCATCCGATCATAATTTTTCACGAAGTTATCTATAGATGTATATATAGATAGGTCACACATTGAAAAATTTTCAAATCAAATATCCATGACGTTACATTCAATATATTACAAACTATTTACATATATATTTCATACTCCTACGTATACGTATACGTACGCATATATATATATATATATATATATATATATATATATATATATATATGAGATATAATGTAATTCTCGAAAACATTCGGGTTATAATTGCATCATGTTTGATCGTTGATGTGAAAATATAGAATTCTGATGTTACCAACTATAATCATCTAGTATACTGTAATTCGTTGTTTCTCGAGATAATATTACTTAATGTAAGTGTCATAGGTCAAGGTTCGAAGGAATTATAAAAAAGACGATAGCTAAGTTACGCCTAAGACGTGTTAAAAAAAAGTCTACGCTCGAATGATCATTTAAATAATACATGAGATATTGTCGCCTTCATCTTCGTCTTCGTTTTCGTCGTCTTCGTCTTTATCGTTGTCGTCGTCGTCGTCGACGTCGTTGTCGTCGTCCTTGTCGTTGTGATTTCTTCTTTCTTTACTATTTAGTATCAAAATGTAAATATTAAACGCAAAAATTCTTACGATCATTATGATTAATCCAAATACGATACAATCTGTATTTAGATTTTCTTCTTTATTTTATTTCTTTTTTTTTTTTTTTTATGACGATCAGTCCAGAAATTATGATTTACTTTTCTTTTCGTTCTGTTCAACTCCTACTTCTTTTTTTTTTTCTTTCTTTTTATCTTTTTAATAAGATACTCAAAGGAATTCATCCAGTCTCATTGAAAAATATTAATCGTGAAATACTTTCATGATTATTATCGATCCAAAAATTATATTGTAAAATTATTCTATTCTTTATATACATACATATATATATATATATATATATATATATATATATATATATGTATTGAAGAATGATCGAGTTTTATCGGAAAAAAAAAAATTTATTTATCTTTAAACTGGGAAACATTGAAATAAAATATTCAAAATGGTCCACGTAAAGTGTTGCAAATTGTTTTCATTTACCATACATTCTTACATGCATACGTAGAATAAGAGAAAGAGAAAGAGAAAGAGAGAGAGAGAGAGAGAAAGGTAGAGAGAGAGAGAGAGAGAGAGAGAGAGAGAGAACCAGTTCCATATAGATAAATATATGAAAGTTTTGCAATAGCATAATTAATCAAAAAAAGAAAAAAAAAGATTTTGTTGTCTTTTTATTTATATATTTATTTTTTTTTTTTTTTATAAAATCAAATACAATCTTTTTATATGTTTTAGTAAAAATAATTGATAACACTTTATACTGAAAGGTATATTATAAAATTATATATAAATTATATAAATTTACAAAACGATCTCTTATTAGACATTCCTTTTTTTTTTCTCTCTCGATTTCATTTTATCATTTATTTCCTATACCTCGAGATAATGAAAATAATATATACGTATATTTCTATATACTAAATATACAAACTGTATATATATATATATATATATATATATATATATTTATATATAATATACTAACTCAGTTCGATCAAAATTAATTAAGATAAAATCGACTTTCAGCATTTGGAATCATCTAGTACAGATAACCAAAGATGGCAACAAGACAGTCATCATTACGACACATTATATCGAAGAGGCTCGACAAGCTCATACGGTAAGAAAATGAGAGAGAGGGGCAGAGGGAGGGGGAGGGGGAGGGAATCTTAAATACACCTAAATTTTCTTTCTAAATCTTATATAAAATTTATGAATATTTAATGAACATCGTAAATTTATTACCTATTCAATTATTCTGATTCAAATTTTTTAACTTAAAACTTATTATGTAGTATTTAGATTTATTACTGTACGTAATATTTAAATTTATATAATGTATCTCTCAGGTTTTGAAACAAACAATAACAACAATAACTATGTTCCTTTGTGGAGAGGAATAAGAAAAAATAAATTTTATATGAACATGAGTTCATATCTAATGATATAACGATTATTTTTGATAAAATCAATTTTAATATAAAAAAAAAAATAATCCATTTGTATAATTTAAATATTATGAAATAGGAACGTGAGGCGGATGAAAAAATATAAAAAAAGTAAATTTCGATTTGTATATATATATATATATGTATTTGATATCATTTGTTTATTTTTTTCTTTTTTTTCTTCGAAACATTGATTAGAAATTTGAAATATTTATTATCAACAAATTGAATTTTGGCAGGTTTTTTAAATTATTAAAAACTCAAGTCCGAGATATAAAGAAAAATTTTTTTATCATTTTGCACTTTAACGTGTTTTTATTAATATGAATAGATTATCATTGAGTAGCTTTGCTTTAAATATTTCCATTGAACAATTAAAAAGTAAAAAAAAAAATAAGTAACGCACTTAAGTAATTAAATTCGCTAAATAATTTTCAAACTAATTTAAATATCATTTAGTCCAATAAGGCTCGCAATATACACAAACATATATAATTTAATAATTCATAATACATACATAACAAATTTCGAATCATACGAGTATAAATAATTATATATGTATATATGTACATATTCATGTATATATTCATAGATGTTAGTTCACAAATTATTACACAATATTGTTTACGATCATTTCAAGAAAACCATTACCTTGAATATCGAAGAAAATTTTTTCATTGAAAGTAATGAACCATGTGGCGATCTAATAAGATAGTATGATATGCAATATAATAACATAGTTATACAATTGACATTTAATTAGTTTCATATACTATACACGCACATACACACACATACACATAAAATAAATATATATAATATATATATATTTATTTTATATATATATATATATATATATATATTTATATATATGGTATGAATACTCTATAATTATAATGTATATACTATAATTATATTAGTGAAAGGTCAAATAAATATTGATCAACTTCGTTGAAACGAAGGAAATTTTTTTTTTCTTCTTAGAAATTATTATAATTGGATTGGTTCTTCGCGAAATAACAAAACAAAAAAAAAAAAAAGTAGGATGAAGAAAAAGAACAAAACAATTTTATCACTCTGATCAATTATAATTCGATGCTCGTTTAACTAATATAGTAAGTGTAAGTATAAAAAATAGAAAAAGAAAAAAAAACAAAGTTATTCTAATCGATCAGTTTTCTCGTTTAGATAACCCTTGTACCTATGTACGATAAATATGGGTGGAATTTTTCTCGATATTATTTCGTCCCACACGGAACGTACGAATTATATATTTTTATATCGTAATTAGATAGATGCATTAGATAGATCAAAAATTTTTAAATACATATATAAGTACATACATATATATGTATTTCATATATGTATTTACGTAGATATGCCAGAGATGTATGTAGGATAGTGCAATTATTGCCTCATTCGTTTTGCATTCCAACATTATGAAGGAGTAAGGAGAGGTGGGGGTGGAATGTTAGGGACATAAAAAGAACCGAAAAAAATAAATAGTATTTGTCGGAAAAAATGTATTCGAAAGAAAGAAAAAGTATAAAATCTTTTTAATAATAAATTTATGTTTTCTCTTTTTTTTTTTTTTGGATTCTTCTTCAAAGTTAAAGTCTTATGTATTTTTGTTTTTCGTTTTCTTTTTTTTTTTTTTTTTTTTTCTTAACGATACATAATTCACACTAGATATGTACGTCTCTGATATGTACATACACATATACATTTGTATGTAACTTGTTTGTATGTAAAATAATTTGTTATTTTCTTTTTCTTTCTCTTTTTTTTTTTTTTTTTTTTTTCTTTTTTTCTATCTCATTGCAGATCGGATTAATGAGAAGTGGACGTTTATTAGCCGAGGAATCACCACGGGCACTTCTGACGATGTACAATTGTACATCGCTCGAGGATGTTTTTTTAAAACTATCCAGGAGACAAGGTCAATACGCCCAACCAACAACGGAATTAAATATTTCGAACAATATTAGTTTGGTAAGTGGATAACAATTATATATAATGTTAATTAACTAATTGATTGGATATTCTATATTAATGGAATATGATCGTTTATTTATTCAATTATTTATTTATTTATTTATTTATTTTTATAATATCAATTTGATGAGAAGAATAAATATTTATATTCATTGTTTATTTCGAGATTACGTTTTTTATTTTCTCTCTTTTTAAATTTAGTAATAAATAAACGAATATAAAAGAATACTATTTATCACGATAATAAAAAATATATTATTATTAAATATAAATGATGAATAATCAATTAAAAAAAAAAAAAAAAAATCTTATCAATTTTTCCCTCATTTTCTCAGGCTTCTTTAAATTGGGGAAAGAAGGATGAACCAGTTTACGTCACCGAAGAATCTGGTGTGGTTGGTTTGAATTTCTATCAAAGCAAAGAAGTCCTCATTCATGATTCGACGAATGGGGTTGGCAATCATTATGACGTAAGAAGTTATACGAATTTTTTCTTTTTCTTTTATAATTTAACAGATAATATTGAAGAAAAAAGGAAAAGAAAGAAAGAAAGAAAGAAAGAAAGAAAGAAAAAAAAAAGAAAGAAGAGAAACAAGAAAGACGAATTGTCCTAACTTTCACTTCGTGCACAATAATGTGTATAAAAGGATGTCCTTAAAAGATTCGACCCACATTTCGAAAGCGATCCATATTTCGAAAGGATCTCATAACTTTTTCAATAGTAACCAATGATTATCTTAATCAATTTAAGAAGTAAATTTAAATACGATAAAATTTATTACCCGTATAATCTTTAAAGTGGTCGTTATTATTATTAAATTAAAAAAAAAAAGGTAAATCTTTTTTTTTCTTTTTTTTTTTATTCTCATTAAAAAGTTGTTCTATGTGATCCTTTCGTTATGCGCCTGAAGCATGGATCAAATCTTTTTTGAGATTCTTTCTCTCTCTCTCTCTCTCTCTGCGCGTGTATATATGTATTTTATATTAATATAAAACATTATTTTGATAGCTTACGAACAAATCATTACACGGAAGTAAAGCCGACTCAACGCTGGAATGTAGTAATTTTACAGATTGTTACAATATTACTAGTGTAGGAAAAATAAGGGCCCTCTTGCAAAAAAATTTCTTACGTATGTGGAGAAATATCGGGTAAGTACGAAAGCCATGTCGATTATTCCATATGTATATATATATATATATATATATATATATATATATATATATATATAAATAAAAAAAAATATAAAAATGATATGCATAAAAGAGAAAAACAAAAAAAGAAAAGAAAAAAGAGAATTCTCTGTCAGAAGTGAATAAACAAAACATGAATAAATAAAAATAATGAAATATCCATTTTTATTTTTTTTTAATTTCTTTTTATAATTTTTTTTTATAATTAATTTTTGTTTTGTCTTTTTTTTTTTTTTTTTTTTTTTTACTGTTCAGTGTTATGTTGTTCATCTTCGCATTGCCAGTCATGCAAGTGATACTCTTCTGTTTGGCAATTGGAAGGGATCCAATAGGTTTAAAATTGGCTATAGTTAACCACGAAATTTTTTTCGAAAATATGACGTGCCCTGTCTCGGAAGGCTGTGATTTCTCTTTACTGAGTTGTCGATATCTCAAATTTCTCAATAACGATACAATTATAAAGGTAAGGATTTTTATTAACAATACCGATTAACATAAACGTCGATATTTAGAAAATTTCTACCCATTCTTGGATTATACTATATAATATTTAAGGTCACCGATTTCAAAAATATTAAAAGTTTCTTTTTTAATATATAGTCATAATTTTGAACGTGTTAATTCAAAAAGTATCCAATACAAAATTCAGTTATATTTATTTGATCATCAATTATATTAATAAATGTGACAAAACGCATATTGCAAATCAGTATAATATGAATATTTTAATTTAAATAAATATTATATAAATTGATTTTTGTAATCAGTAACTTTCGATCGTATGGGATCGTATTTTTTTTTTCTTCCTTTTCCTTGAGCTGTATAATAAGTGATTAACATAAGAAAAAAAAAGAGACAAAGAAATGAATAATGTAATTTTTAATATACTTTGTAAATTTATTTGACAAAGAATTATTATCCGGATCCTGAGGCAGCACAAGACGCCGTACGAAAAGGTGACGCATGGGGAATGCTATATTTCACAGAAAATTTCACGGATGCTTTAGTCGCACGAATGGTACTTGGAAGGGATGCTGATGATGAAACTCTCGATCAAAGTGAGATCAGAGTTTGGTTAGATATGTCCAGTAAGTTTTCAATTATATCAATAATAACGTTATCAATGGTTTAACTCTTTTGGATTAGATGGATTAAAAACTGTTTCCACCTTTTGCTTTGCTTTTTATGCTCAAAAAGTTGAAATTATTCATAGTCATTACAGTTCATTAATACAGTATTATTTAATTGTTTTTTCTTTTTTTTTTAAGTTTAATTTTATTTTTTTTATTTTTCTTTTTTTTGTGCAACTTGGGTTTTCATTTTCTTTAAAATCGTATGCCTCAAAAAGTTAAATTAATTCACCTGAACAATGTTAATCATTGTACAAGTTAACTTTCATATATGTAAATAATTGGATAGAAGAAAAGAGAGTAAAAAACCATGAACGTGTTCTCTCAATTATTATTGTTCAATATTTCATTTCTAATTCTCAAATAATAATGCACGCATTATTTACAAAATTCTCTTGTAGATCAACAAGTTGGCCTAATGTTGATGAGGGATCTACAATATTCATATCGGGATTTCGCCAAAGATCTATTGATAGCGTGCAAAGAAAATTCAAAGTTGGCTGACGTTCCGATTCAATTCAAGGATCCGATCTATGGATCGAACGAGCCAAGTTTCACGGATTTCGTTGCACCCGGTGTTATACTAACGTGAGTTAAAATATTTTTAAGTAAATATTATCTTTTTCTATTATTGTTGTTGTTGTTGTTGTTGTTGTTGTTGTTTTGTCCTTTCTTTATTTAATTCTTTTTCTTTGATTTAATTTTGCAATTACAAAAAAAAAAAGAACACAAAGACATATAGACGTCCGTTTATTACACACGTTGTAACATCTTGTACTCATATATATAAAAAAAAAAAAAAAAAAAAAAAAAAGAGAAAAAATCTATTATTACTATTATTACTATCACTAGACTTTTTTTTTATTCTTGAATGAAATATGATTTATTTGTCGAAAAATAGCATCGTGTTCTTCCTGGCGGTTGCTTTGACCTCATCTGCATTGATCATCGAGAGAATGGAAGGATTATTGGACAGAAGTTGGGTAGCAGGAGTAACACCCGGTGAAATACTTTTTTCCCACGTGGTAACCCAATTTGTCGTTATGTGCGGTCAAACGGCATTGGTATTAATATTCATGATATTAGTTTTCCGAGTCGAATGCAAAGGTGAAATAGGATGGGTCATTATATTGACGATACTTCAAGGTCTCTGTGGCATGTGCTTCGGTAAGACAAATTTTATTAATTTTTTAAATATTTTTTTTTTTAAGAAAAACAAATTTTAATAAATACATGAAACAAATCTCAACATCTTTATATAACTTATTTTGTTTAGAATTTTCTTTTTATTAATATATAAATCGGAATATCGATTTACAATTCAATTTTACAAAAAAAAAAAAAAAAAAAAAAAGAGAAAAGAAAAGAAATTTTGCATTATACATATTAATTCATAGATATTTCGCAAATACGTAATTTTTGATATTTTTTTTTGTCAAATACGAAAAGACAGAGAAAACATTCTTAACATTTATTCCCTTTTCAAATGATTTACAGAAATCATACAGTCAGTCATGATTATCAGCATATATATAAATTTACGTAGATTTCGCATTCATTGCGGATTAACAAATCCATTTAATGTTTGCTTGCTAACTCGCTATTTCTTAATTCGGACGAGCTCATAAAACTATCCCATTAGAAATGTTTTTCAATGCTCTCTGACGTGTAATACGCCATAATTACGCAATACGTTCACACAGGATGCAGGTTCCATTACGCAAAAACTAGATCTGATAGGCGAAACATTGTACACGCATATATCTATCTATATATATGCATATATATATATATATGCATATATATATATATATATATATATATATATATATCTAGGCGAGAAATCTTCCTTGCGTAAAAGCTACCTTAAATTATACAAGCTCTCTAATTAAGGATTTACACGTAACAATAACATAATATAGCTCGCTCGAAAACACATAGTTAACCTGATTAAGTTAACCCTCTATAATATTGCATAACTTTGAAATCACATACATAACTATGTATATATATATGTATGTGTGTGTGTATGCTATATTATATTGCCTCTATTTTTTTTCAATCTTATTTCATTTTGTCATTATAATAATTATTAGTCACTTTATGAATTGTCGTATATGAATTTTGTAATGTTTCATTTTTTCTTTTTTTTCAATTAAAAAATATTATAAAACAAATAAGTAAATAAATAAATAAATAAATAAATAAATAATAAAAAGAAAATCTTTCATGCTTTCAGAAATCAATCAATAGTCATAGATCAATGTATTAATCATCTTTCTTATTTTAATAGGATTCGTAATTTCGGCAATTTGCGAGCTCGAAAGGAACGCCATCCAATTGGCCCTGGGTAGTTTCTATCCCACACTTCTTCTCAGTGGTATGTAATCGTTTTAAGAAATTTTGTTTTTTGAAGAAATCAATTCTCTTTAAAATCTATCTTGATTGATATGAATATTTTATTTGATCTCAGACGTTTATTTTCAATTCTTTTCATAAAAAAAAAAAAAAAAATTATAAAATATATATAATTACCTCTCTTTCTCTCTCTCTCTCTCTCTCTCTCTCTCTCTTCCTCTTCCTTTGTGTGTGTGTGTATGTATGTGTTTACATACATACATACGTAAATATAATCGTGGATAGTATGTAATATTGGATTATTAATATTGTCAATTGATTTATTTTTTAATTATTAATTTCAGGTGTGATATGGCCCATAGAGGGTATGCCAACAGTTTTACGATATGTCTCGCAAGGTTTACCCTTGACGATGGCAACTACGGCACTTCGTTCTATGCTGACTCGTGGTTGGAGTATATCAGAGCCAGATGTGTACAATGGTTTTATATCTACAATCATTTGGATCGTAGTATTCCTCACAATAAGCATGTTGGTCCTTAAATTCAAGCATAAATAGAAATAGAAAGAGAAAGAGAGAGAGAGGGAGAGAGGGAGAGAGAGAGAAAACGGTTACGTTATATTGATAGAACAAATTTTAAGATAAGGGTGAAAGGTGGAGGGGGACAAGTTTGAAGAGAAAGATGAAAAAATATTTTTTATTGTAAATTAAAAATTAACTTCGTTCATATTATTGTAACTGTATCGAGGGTATTAAGGATGAGGGAGAATGAAGAAAAGTAATAGGGAAGATCGAAGAAAAAAACAAATGATCGTATGAGTTTTGATGAAGTTTTTTTTTTCTATTTTCTCTCTTTCTCTCTCTCTCTCTCTCTATCTCCCTCTCTGTCTCTTTCTCTCCCTCCCTCTCTCTCTCTCTCTCTCTCTCTCTTTCCTTCTCCCTCTCCGATTCTTTCGTAAATCATCACTCCGAAATGTGATGATTAATGCGCATATGTGTATATATGTGTTGCCAAAATGATTTTAAGTTTGATATGATTGCGTGCATGTATGCGTGTGTGCCTGCGTGTACTTTTAAATAATAAAAAAAACATGTACGTGTACGTGTGCGTACGTGTGTGCATGTGTCTACTCTTGTGTGCGTGTATTTGTATTATTTTTGGATAAACTCACTTAGGGATTTATTTTTTACTTATTAACGTTTCTACATATTATATATATAATAATAATAATATATATATATATATATATGTGTGTATGTGTGTATATGTATATGCATACATACACACATTGTATGCATATATATATATTTCTTTTTTCAATTTGTTTTTAGTCATATCTTATATACATTCTCAGAGTATAATTAATGCATCTACGTTTAGGGATGCCTCGGTAAACTTGTTCGCGAGAATAGAAAAAGAATAGATTATAAGTAAAATGGAAAAAAAAACAAACCAAAAAAAACAAAAAAAGAAGACAAGAACAAAAATTTAGTTGAATATGTTGATCATAGAGATAATAATAATAATAATAATTATTATTATTATTATTATTATTATTACTATTATTATTATTATTATTATTATTATTATTATTATAATTGATTAGCTGATAATACATGATTTTACTTGCCCATGACTCTGAATATGTTTACGTGTGTATGTTTCTTTTCTTTTCTATTCTATTCTATACTCTTATATTTTTGTTTCTTTTTTCTTTTTTTTTCCTTTTTTTTTTCTATTATTTTTGTTTTGTTATTTAGCCCATAATCGATGTGTCATGTGAAACGATACGTAAAATGCAATGTAAGAGACTTTTCCATTTTTTTCTTTTCTTTTTTTCTTTTTCTTTTTCTTTTTTGTATGTATATATGCGTATGTATGTATGTATGTATGTATATTTTAATCATTTAAGGGGTATGAGCGAAAAAATGTTTCATTTATTAGATATTTTTGTTTCAGCGATTAAATTTCCGTGAAAATAAAATTAGCTTGTCAACTATAGAAAATTATACATACGTATATATATATATATATATATATATATATATATATATATATATATATGTATGTTATGTATATATATGACTATGTGTGAAAGATGTTATATTATCAATATACAATGAAATATTTGAAACGCATATTATCATTTGTACATCGTGGCCCGATACCGTCAGTAACACATCTTTAAATATAAAAATGCGAATAAAACTGTTAATACTGTATTTTTCTTTTTTTTTTTTCTTCTTTATAAAACATTTCATTTATTTCCTTAGCTTTGATTTTTAGATAGTAATAGTATAAAAAGTAAAATCACCTGTAGAAATTTCCGCATAATGAGACCTAGATACACGATATTACTTACGTTGTAATGTATATCATACTTTATATACTATGATATACATTATATATATATATATATCGATCTAATGGCTGCTTAAATACACAATTAGAAAGAATTAATATAAAGTTTGTACAATTAGCAAATATTTTTCAATTAATATATTTATGTACGAATGAAAGGCAATGAACAGCCTTATTTAAAGATCATATATATAATATTATATAGTATTATATTATTTACATTATAATATTTTATATTATACATCTCTCCTATGAATAATCTGAATAATATGTATAAAAAATAAAAATATTATAGTTACAGGCTGATTCAAAAGTTCTTAGATTATTCGAATAATCAATTAGTCTTTATCGAAAATCTTTAAGATAATTTTTATTTCTTCGAATAATAAAACAACAATCCTAATTATAAGTATAAAAACTCTAGAAGAAAAAAAGTAATTGATATTTAAATTTATCTAAGAACTCTTAATCTGACTTAGAGACTTTCAGCACCCTTTGTACATTCTATGCTAAAACTATATTGTTTTTTTACAAATGTCTCCGAAACGATCATAATACCAAATTTATATGCAGAATTCCTAAACTTTACCAATATATGTGCACAATATATAAATATATAAATATAAATATAAATATATAAATATATATATATATATTTATATTTATATATTATTTAATTTTTACTTTATAACATTCTTCCACAGCGAACCACGCTCGATTTTCTTCCACTTTACATTTCCAATAATCTGCAAATATATAAAATACGTAATAACAAATTAAGAAAAAAAAGAAAGGAAAATATTTCAGTATATAAAGACAAAAAAAAAGTAGTTCAATCAACATTTTAATTAGATGTAATTATAGATTTTTTATTATATTAATTTTAAAATACATATTTCTTCAATTCACTATCTTCTTTTATTTTTTTTCTTTTTTTCTATAATTAGATTTAATTATTTTAATTATTCATTTGAATTTATTTTAATTTTCGTCATTCAAATATAATAATATATAATGAAGAAAAAGATAGTGAAGGTTGGGAAATTGGATTAAAAAAAGAAAACAAAAAATTTTACCTTTCAAAATTTTGAAATTTACCTTTTAAATCATTTATAGATCCATCGGTACCACCATACTCAACCGGCAATATATCACGTTGAACTATATCAAGAAAAGTTTTCTTTCCGTACGTATGCACGTGCACTCTTCGTTTCAATTTATCGACCATAAAACTTTTGAAGACATTTAAAACGACATTTACATAAATCGGTGAATTTATAAACTCTAATGCCTGTATTCTTAAAGGATAACAACCTTGCCAAGCATGTACCAACTTTTTAATGACGCTCGGTGAAAATTGAAGCGCGTGACCGAAAGATATACCTGCTAAATCCAAAATGGCTATTATACCGTGCAACGAAGCAGATTCGTTTTCTCTTATTGCGATATCCAATGTCATCAAAGAAGCCTAAAACAGTATAAAAGAAAAAAAGTATAAAAAATAAAATGAAAAATAGTATTTTATATAATTTTTCTTAAATAATAAATTATTATTGTTTAATAATAAATTATTTAAGAAAAAATATTTCAATAATTTCCTAAAATAAAATGTTAATAATAAAATAAGATTGAAAAATATTAAAAAAAAAAAAAATGCATGACGCTATATTACATAGCCTTAACTTACTTGGAATTTTTTTTTTTTTTTTTTTTTTTCTTCTAATTCGTCAATAAGAAGTGAAATTAAATTGACTAATTTTCAAATTACACATTAAAAAATGCGATATTAATTTTACCTTTAACATATCCGCTTGTTTATGTTTATTAGGATCATGTGCGGCGATTCGTATTAGAACCACCATTCTCCCTTTATTATCTAATTTCCTCATTGGTAAAAATACTCTATAGAAAGTAAATTATTATATAATATTTATAATATTTAATTATTACATATATATATATATATATATATATATCATATAAAAAAAAATAAAATACGTAATCAATGTAAATATACATATAATTATCAATATCAAATTTAATATAAAATTATTAGAATTGCCTTATTGTTATATTGAATATGATATATAGAGTATATGATCGTTTTAAATACAGGATGTGCCAAAAGTCCTTAAATGGAGCAAAAAAATTCCTATGAAAACTCGATTACTCTTTTTTTCGAGACAATTCAGGATAATTTCTTTTTTTATCTTTTTTCTTCAAATTCTAAAATTACAAGCCTCTAACTGCAAGTGCGAAAAGTTTTGAAAAAGATTCAAATTATTAATTTTTTAAAAATCATTTAGGAACTTCTGTCACTCCAATCTAGGAACTTTCACCAACCACGGCCAATCCTATATATATATATATATATATATATATAGTATGATTAGATAGAATTACCCTAATTCAAACATATCCTGTAATTCGACCAGAAATGGATCCTTATTTGCATACCATTCTGGAGTATTACCTCTTTGTTCATGATAATTCCAAAATTTATATTTCGTTGTTTCAATATTAAATTTGCAAGCCCTTAAAAAACGTAGAATAAAGAAGTCGTCTGTAACAAGTAAAAAAAAAAAAAAACAAGAAGAAGAAAAGAAAAGAAAAAAGAACGAAAAAAAATAAAGGAATAAAAGAAAAAGCGATTTTATAAAATATAGATAGATATAAATAAATATTAAAATATATAAAGTATAAATTTTGTACATTATAAATAATTATTACATACACATATGGTATAATTAAAAAATTTTTGAAATTTTCTGATTAATTATTTAATTTTTTATTAAAATATATGAAAACATAAATTTTTATAAAAAAAAAAAAATATAAATAATATAATGAAGTAACATTTTTCAATAGAAATAATATAAGTAAATAGAAATGATAAATATTGTAAAAAAAAAAAAAAAAAAAAAAAAACAAACGATTTATACTCGCTTACCTGTGCAAGCGTGTAGATCATCATTTTTTAAAATCCATTCGCGTATTTCTTCGATCTTCTGCGATCTGTTATCATCTGTCTCATTTAAATTTGCCGCTGCGTAATCTTTTTCCTTTTGAGATAATTGACAAACGTAAACTTTTGACTCTGTCATTCTGTATAAGTAGTAAATATAAATACAACTGTTCTTTGCGTATCCGTTATCTTCCTCCAAATTAAAAACTATCTTATCTTCGATTACGTCAACTTTTAATTTTATTAAAAAAAAATTGTCACTCCTTTTTTAAATTATCTGCCATTTGTATACAAAGATCGAAACGATTTTATTTAGGGAAAATCGTCTCAACTAAAAATGATCTACGAGAGAACTGAATAGATATAGGAACAGAATAAATCTAATAATGATCTACTGCGCCATCTGACGTAAAGATAGCGCGTATTATGATTACAATGAATAAACAGAGACAAACGTAAATTCTTAATCTTATGAAAATAATTGTTTTTCACTATCTCATTAATTATCACTTATCGAACAATATTTTTTTTTCTCTTTTTTTATTCGATCTACGTAATTACATTCTCTATTTAAATGCGACAAACTTGCATTTAAATAGAGAAAAACAATAAACGAATGACCTTCAGAAATCTCTATTCAATTGACATTAACAACACTCACAATGTTTAGATAAATTGACGAGACTATTCTTTTTAACACGGAAGATAAAGAAAATGATGTATGTCATGCTAGTTAACAAATTGTATGACATTATCTAATAATGAATAAAACATATATAACGAAAAAAAAACAATTCTTGTAGCTTATATCTTAATTTCTTGCATCTTACAATTTTCTACGAAATAAAATTAGTTGAGGGTAGAATCATTTTATTAAAAAAAACAAATGCATTTGTAAGAGATCCATCTTAAAAAGTATAGATATAAAAAAAAAAATATTATATGTAATAATTTATTTCAAATATTTTTCTCGATACAAATTCAATAAAATCTTACAAATGATCTTTAGAATCTTTTAGAATCGCATTGTTTTATATACTGATCTCTTAAGAATATTAAACATAACGACATCTATAAATAATTAGATTAATTTAGTACTGTACTACATTGTTCTACAATATCTTTGTTTCTACTATAAACAATAAACTACTACTCGTATGAATAACAAAAACATGATATTAATCTATCGTACAAATGTTAAACAGTCATATGTTTATAGGTTATTGTTAATTTATAAAATGTATCATATTTATTAATATTTAATGCAAAAATATGTAATATTTGTGATAAGATTAAAAAATTGTTCTCTTCATTGTTTTTAACTCTATAACTGGAAAGCACTATGGTAGCGTTAAAAAAAAAACAGAAGTATAATAAAATGTGTATGTATATGCATATATATATATATATATATATATATATATATATATATATATATATATGCAGTTTTAGTAATTGAATAATAAAGACGTTATTATAATTTAAATGAAAACAACATTTCAAATATATGAATTCATCATTTTCCTTTCAATGATACTGGAAATTACATTGTATCATATTTTACATATTGATTACATATGGCTTTACATATTGCTTTACCATATTTATATTTTTTCTTGTAATTATTAATTTGCCAATGGTCGTATGTACAATTGTAAATATACCCGCACATATTATAGTTTTCTTTCTTAATACTGATCTGTTAAAACAAATGCATATTTATGTTACAAAGTATTTAAAAGGAAGCGTCTGAAACATAAGAGAAAATGTTTTCTAAATAGAAGTTGAATGAACAGAAAGATAAAAAATATTCAATTATTGTGCAGAGATAAATCTACTATATATATGTATATATATATATATATACATATATATATATATATATATATATATATATATATATATAAATGTAGATTATATTTTTTAATGGAATGAAAAAATTTATTTTCTGATTAATAATAAAACTCCATGGATATAGAAAATTCTATACGAATATAAACGCATATACACATATGTACGCGTACGTATTTACTTATATATATATATATATATGTATACATATATATACAAGATTCATATATGAATCTATGTATCATATATATATATATATATGATACATAGATTCATATAATACGTACAACTTTATCCTCTATAGCAATCTTTATATAAATATTATTGCAAAGAGATCTTTTTGCACGACATCAAATATAAAGAAGTATTATTTTATATTCATTGTTATATAAATCCTTATAAAACATATGAATATATTATTGAAGTATTTGAAATTAATAAAAGTACAAAAAAAGAATAAGTATTAGTAGTAATAGGTCCCTATGCATATGATATTGCCATGATTGTGTTATCCTCTATATATTAAATCATTCTGAAAAAAAAAAAAAAAAAAACAAATTATTTCTTATATTAGTTTAGTATCGACATATACTTATTTTATATGCTCAAATTACGATAATCCATTTATATTGGTTTTTAATAATTCAATATGTATTAATATGTATGTTAAAAACCATTTAGTTTGTGAAATATAAATTATACATACTTAGTATTTACTTGTAAAACTATTCCCAGATTTTTGAATGTTTCATAATATAAAACCATATAAATTCTCATTTTATGCATCAATTGAATTCTCTTGCGTTTCCTTCTTTACTGCATCATTATTATATGTAGATGAAAGTACATTACTGACAATTTCTTGATAATATTCCCCAAACACACTTCTATTATGAGAAACGAGTATTAAAAATTGTGCTGCTATTGCTGTTAATTCTTCTTGTAGAGATGAAAGACCAAGTGGTACTTGCTGAGGAATAGCGCTCTGAGATTGTATAATTCTTTGCAAAAATTGTCTAATTCTCAAATCTATTAAAATATATATTTGGAAACAATAATTTATTAAATTACAAAAGAATATATTATTAGATGAAACATTTCATTATGCTTACTGACGAGACTTCTAATCTTATGATCTGGTTTAATCAAATCTGTTATTTGTCCCTCCAATGATGTTTCTAAATCAGTTGATAAATTTCCAGCACCAATTTCTTCTAATGTTGTCCTAAGATCTTTTATCACTTGCAAAACAATGTTTGGCATTACCTTTTCTAAATCCCTATACATGAAACATGCACATATACACATATAAAATGATATATTATATATGAAAAGGTATCTTAAAACTTACTTATTTGAATGTATAGAATCTAATAACACTGTTAAATCCTCTTTTACACTAATTTTAAACTTAGCCACACCTTGTATCGATGGACCAACTGTATTATTTGTTAACAATAATATAGAACCAATTATACTCAATCTGCTGGTCTTGTCACGTAATTCTACCAATCTACCTTGATCAAGCATCAAAGTCTGCAAAAGATATTATATTGAAGAATTTAGTTGCAATGTTTATTACATATATATGTATATTCATACTTCTGCATCTGGATTAAAATCCCATTCCAGAAGATCAAGGTAGGCTTCGGTTAAGAGACGATGCGTTATTTGTCTCACTGAATTATCATGATTAGAAGCACTTGCAATTTCTTCCTCATTAAGATTTTTCAACAACCATTTTTTAGTATAATGCAAACCATCTGTATTAATTTTTAAAAATTCTGCAAACTTAGCCTTTTCATATTCAATACTCGAGGCAACAATACTTGGTCTCATCATAGTTATAGTAAAGTTTGCTAAATCCAATCTCATCAATTGTAAAGCTTCCATTATACCTTTAAATGTTTCAATAACATTTTCTTTTTCTTTCAATTCTTGTATCTTTTCATCTCTAACCGGTGCACAAACTTTGCCCATAATAGAAATAATGTAATTTGCATAATGGCGAAAATCTAATACACCTTTTTCCGCTTGCTGTTGAATCAAATCAATATCAAGAACTTCTTTAATATTTTCTTTAATTTTTGAATGGTGTGATAACACAAGTTCATCCAGTGTCTAAAGAAAAAAAAAGAAAAAAAAGAAAGAAAAACTTGATATCAGATTACATATGTTGTAACAATATGATATAATAAACTTCTAATTTAATTACGTCTTTAATTTCTTTCAATAAAATGAAAGCCTGTGTATAAATTGGCGGATCTTCATCCAATTGTTCTGCCAATAAATTCCAAAAGGCCTTGTGCATTATTTCTTTAACTTTTCTATGAAAAGTACCATCATCTGGTTCCAATTTTTGTAATTGAAAATTTTTATCCACCGCAATTTCATGTGCCAAAGCCATATTAGTCATTCCATTTGCAGCCCTTATAATTTCTTCGTGAGACACAAATTTTGGTGGAGATGCACCAGTCCATCCGCTCATCATATTTTGTATACCTTGTCTATTTTATATACATTAATAAAAGAAAATTCAATATATAAAAAAAAACATATATATATATATATATATATATATATATATATTTAATGCAATTCACTAAAATATTCATATCTCTCTATTAAAATACATATATAGAAAATATCTTACTGTTTTGCATGTTTATCATCTTCTATTTGACGAGATGAAGTTGGACATTCGATAGGAATATTAAGCTTATCAATATTAGACTTTGCCTCGTCATTTTTTGTCTTTTCATCTCTATAAATCAAAATATTATAATAATCAATATTATATTAATGTAATATAAAACGTAAAAATTTGTTAATGAAATTATTAAATCTTTTCTAAAAGAGCGTCTATGTCTTATTTTTGTATCTTAATAAAATGATTTGATTTATTTGTTAGATACAATAAAGAAAATTTATAAAACATACTTGTCAGACATGATGACTAGAATGAATAACTTTTATTCCTATGTTTATATAAAATTCACTTGCTATGACATGATCTGCTCTCAAAAGCAGCTGCTAGTTGACTGTTTTGGCTCCTGAAGAGAAGGAGGTCAAATACTGTCTATAAAAAGAACATCTATAATGCTGTAACTGCCTGTAAATACTTTCAAGACTTCTTTTGTTAATCTTTATCAAATCCTTGATCAACTTTTATCCAATTAATCTTTTTTATTTGATAGTATAAAAAAAAAGTGTTAGATAAGAAATACTATTATATATAAATATATATTTACTCTTTGTTTTCTATAGTTAAAACATTACAATTATTTCCATGTAAAATATGACAAAATCAACTTTAAAAATTAGTAATCGACATCTTTGTATACTCGTATTTTTCTATACAAACATTTTATATACATTTTATTTGACAGATCAATTTGTATAAATATTTTATATATTTACAAAAATAAGAAACAAAGAACTAACCCTAATATTATCAATAAATTATTATTGTTATTATTAACAAAAAAGTATCGTTGATAGGATTTCATTCTTTCAAGATAAGATTTTTTTATGTTTTGCAAAGAAGAAAAAAAAATATATGTATATATATATATGTATCTGTAAAAATTACCTTTTTTGTATATACGATTCACAAAAATATTGAGCTGTTCCTCTTTTCTAATATTGACAAGTAGACCAACACTTGAAATTTTTTAACAAAAATTTGTAATATATGTATACATGATTTGTA